GGACCAGGCTTAACTGGCCCAGCCTGGTCGTTCATCTGACCCAACAGTGGCAGCATCATGCTTTGGGGCTGTTTTTCTTCAGCTGGGGCCTTAGTCAGGGTGGAGGGAATTATGAACAGTTCCAAATACCAGGCAATTTTGGCACAAAACCTTCAGGCGTCGGTTAGAAAGCTGAAGAGGAAGTTTACCTTTCAGCACGACAACGACCCAAAGCACACATCCAAATTCACAAAAGCATGACTTCACCAGAAGAAGATTAATGTTTTGGAATGGCCCAGCCAGAGCCCAGACCTGAATCTGTGGGGTGATCTGAAGAGGGCTGTGCACAGGCAATGTCCTCGCAATCTGACAGATTTTGAGCGCTTTTGCAAAGAAGAGTGGGCAAATATTGCCACGTCAAGAAGTGCCATGCTAATAGACTCCTACCCAAAAAGACTGACTGCTGTAATAAAATCAAAAGGTGGTTCAACAAAGTATTAGTCTAAGGGTGTGCACACTTACGCAACCAGGTTATTTGAGGGTTTTAATTTTTCCCCCTCAAAGATTTCAATGTGTTTTTCAATTGAATTGTTCACATTATAGGTCACATTAAAGGTGGAAAAAGTTCTGACATGATTTATCTTTGTCTCATTATTTTACATCATAAGAACCTGGCATTTTAACAGGGGTGTGTAGACCTTTTCTATCCACTGGATGTGTTGTAAAAATACTGAAGGCCCTACTGCCTTTACAAATGCATGTGCAGAAAAAAAGTTCAACAGTTGTGATTAGCTTGCTTTTGTTATTTCAGCCGTTGGCGTTCAGAGACGTTATGTCTTGTCAAAACCGTAACTTCACTCCTTGCTGCTGTTATGAATGTGATTTAAAAAGTGGGAGAGACTGCTTTGTTTGGGGGGAGGAGGGGTGGTAGTTAAAGTAATATAGTAACTTTTATCACACACTAAGAAGTTAAGTAATACTTGTTTTTTTTTAAGTGTTGGGCCTCACAGTCTGTTAGAACAAAGACGAGGGGGGTCACAGAACAATAGAAAGCCCAGATGGCTCTTGTCAGTTAAATCACACCTACCTGTGAACTCTTAACTTTTTAAACCAAACCAAAGGTTTGTATTGGCTAAAGCTTTCAGGGGGCGGAGTAATCCCAGGAAGTACAACCATTTTGTCAACAGAGGTATAAAACCGAACACCTCCGAACCCTCATTGCCATTCCAAGTTCCTCAGGGGACTGTAAGTAGGTAAACAAACTCTGCCTTTCTGCAACTGCACCAGCAGTACAGGAGGTATTTTTCTTTCAGCGCTGAACTTTCTTTGTTCCTGAATACAGACTTCACTCGCCGGACGAGCAACTTTGTTTTCTTCTTTTTTCTACCTCCTATTATTTTTTCTTTGTGTTACCAACACAATTTTGAATTTAAAGAAACTGTTACAGAAGATAACGTTTCCTTCCTGCAGAAGAAGACGGATAAAACTCCGTGCTTAACTGAGAAGATCACGTCTGTGCTCTACCTTCTCAACTTAGTCGAACCTCACTGATTCCTGTTGCTGCCCCCAAAGAATCATCTGTGCTGTGGAACCTACCGGCATCTTCAGATCTGAGCCGAGAGCAACTCTAACGGACTTCCCAAAAGGACTGACGCAACTACTCTCTATCAAAGCAACACGTAAGAGGCTTTAGTATGTCTGGGCAGCAGATAGTTCTATAACCTTGTTATTGTAACTTATAAGCTTCATGTGGTGAATTTCTTTTAAGAAACTCCAAGGGATATTGAAAGACAGCCGCGTCTTGTTTGATTGCTGTGTGTTTTCCGTGCTACACACGTTGCTTGTGTCCGGTACCACCCACTGGGCCGCGACTGCTTTGTTCCTCTTACTGTGTGAAAACGTATCAGTATTTTTATCAAGCCAGGGAACACGGTTGCTGAACGCAAGTTCACTACCGTCCCTCTCATTGATAATGTTGTAGCTGAGTGTTTTCAACAGTAATTAGGATTTTTGGTGTTTGTTTCTGTTGTCTGAGAACAGATACAATTGCACATTCTATCTAATCCAAAGCAGCAACCGCTGCTGAATGAATCGTTCACTTCTGGTGGCTGTAAGATAGTTTGTGGTATATTGTATGTATATAGCTTTGCTGTGTGCCTTTCTCGCCTCCTCCAGCTTACTGACCCCACATGCACACACCACGTGATCTCTCAAGCTAACCAGACCTGTGACCCACAGTAGGCTAGCGTCAGAGTGCGTCCCCATTTCTTTAGTTCAGGGGAGAGTGATTTTCCGCCATCTTGAAATCACATGGTTTGAACCGCCATCTCGATTCCAAAATCAGCTGGCCTCTAGCACAACCGGATCTGGCACGACCCATGTGGTCTGATCCGACCCCCTCTCTTAGTCTCTCCCCCTCCTTTGTCTCACACACACACACATGCACGCGCGCTTGATGGATTGTTGTATGTTTGTGTGTGATTTGTTTATTGATTTTATTTCATTTTTTCTTAGAATAGTTAATAGTGATTTACTCAAGTTATTGATCATTGATCTACGCTTAAATTGAATAAATCCTATTATAATTTTAAGAAGTCGTTGCCTGTGATTATTTGTGTATAATGTTGTAGTAAGAGTTGGTTACACAGCCAGTGCACAGATTCACCCTTCTCTGTTTGCCATCTATAGGTGGACAAACCCCATTTTAGACTGATCAGACTTGGCTCATATTTGGTTATTGGTCCCTGATTCCAGGGTGGTGCCCCGTATTTATTAATTATAATAGCTAATAACCAAACCTGAACATATGTTGACAAAAAACCCCGACATAAGGATTAATTGGTAAATTTTTACAATTTCTAAGTAACTTGCCCAACACTGGCTGTTAATCAAACAACAAAAATTTAACTGTTCTCTGTTTGCTGTGCGGTGAGCGACTGGACACTTCGGCCCGGAGCACTGGGGCTCTGACACCCGATGTGTGGAGAAGATCCGCACCTTTATGCTGGAGTGGCTCTCCTTCATGCGAACATAGGCAACGGCATGCACTTCAGTATATTGTATTTCTTCTACTATGAACAAGCCTCATTCATTACTGTTTAATGTAATACTGAAGCAGCCTCAGTTTGTTTATACTTGTAGTAACAGTATTTTAATAGCAGGCCCACTGTTGGTCATGGTGTTGTAAGTCATCTCATTAAACAGTGTTGAATCTGTGGGGATATCTGATACGTATTCAAAAATGTGTATTAATAAAGAACAAATTTATATTAAGTCACTACATATACTAGTGGCTCCAAATGGCTGCAAGATGTGACTCAAAATAGAAACCTGCCATACGTATATCCTGGGTTCACAGAGCACACATCTGCTGCTTGAATAGGAATATATGGTTAATGTTTTAAACTAAAATATGAACTTGAAATCTGATCTATGAAATCCCTGTTAGGGAACATGGGATGCTCTTCTGTCACAGCACCACTCGGTGAATTAGGTCCAAAGAACTTGTCAAACATTATCTGGCTTTCATATTGAAAACTTAATGAAAAGTGAACTGGAGAGGAAATAAAGATGATGTTTCTCTCTATCCCCCTCCATCCCTGTCCCTCAGATATATTCCAGTGGGTCTGTTAGAGGGAGGGCCTCAGAAGATCAATGAAAGACCTCCGTACTACATGGGCAGAAACTACCTGGAGTCACTGATGGCCAGTTAAAACGTTGGGGACTGGGTCAGGTTTAGGTGAGCAGAAAACTGTCTTAATCTGCAAGACGTATCATTCAAAATCAAGCAACACTAAAATGTATTGTTAAAGTGATATATATTTACTTATTACAAACTCTCACTTGGACCTGTACCAAAGTATTTCAACTTTTTGCCCAAATATATGGCCAACGCCTACAAGGGAATTTCTACTTCACTACTAAAAAAACACCCAGGTTTTTCTTTTGGCTCTAGAGAATAAGATTACAAGAAAGGACATTAATGTTTTAAATGATAAAGACTTTTGAATAGTCTGCTTATTTGACTTGTGGTGCAGTAGTAGACTATATGGGTGTTTGTGTTCTTGTACTGAAATATTTGCAATAAACTCTTTTGCCACCCCCGAGAAATTTCGGTGTCTTATTTTATATTTTTCTTCTAGTTAAAGACGCTGAAAGGTGTGATTTCTGATCCATCATCATGGAAGAACTTTAAAAGATAAAAGTCCGGCAATGCTCTGTGAAATACATTTGAACATAGCCGTTTACATGAAGCTTTTCTTTTGGAGACTGAAATGAAAGCCAGCTGAGTTTAATTATTTCAGTCAGTGAAATCCATCCATCCGTCAGTGAAATGAAGCATTTAAATGTTAATGACAACCTTTATTAGGTATAACTGTAAAGTGTAATCTATTCAACATCTTTGTGATAGAATGTATTTGTGTGATGCTTGTAAGATGGTTTTAGCTGTTGATTCTACTTTTGAGATGGAGAGTAGATGGTTTCATATAGTATTTAATCTATTTCAATGATTTTTTTAAACAATGACATGTACACACTGTACATGAGGAAGACAATGACAATATTAGAGACACCTCCAAATGTAATGCAGCACCCAAAGGAAAACCCTGTGTTGATTAAATGTGTAACAAGCAATATCCAAGGTGTTATTTAGAAAAATAAAATAACTGAACATGCTTGCAGTATTCAAAATGTTTGTCTGAAAGATAAATTCCAGTTATACTTAAGAAAAGATTTCAAAAAGTATTTGCACAGACTGTGTGCCTGTAACTTGTAACATAATGTCATACATTTACATCATTAAATGTTGGTCAGTTGATTTATTTTAAAAGAACTGTAACATCTTAGAAACATGAAATAGGCATTTCCTTTAGTAAACAGGCAGTTTTCATTCCCAAACCTGTGACTTTAGTTGAGTGCCAATCAGTAGTCACCAGGTGCACTCAATTGACTTCAAACCGCCACCCGCTCCGTTTCAAGAGGCTATATCTTTGTCTGGGTGCTCAGCAACTGCAGGAGGGCCTTCACATTGATTCATGGCTGGCGTCAGGGTAGAGCTGCTGCTGGTCCTGACTGCGACTCTGCTGGTTTCAGTAGAGGGATGGGCGCGGATCAAGAAAATTCAACGTCCCTCGCCAGGTAAACAACCACCAATGACACAGCACCGATAATAAGCGTGTGGTCACTCAAAGCAGGTTCTTGCAAATGTCGTCTTTTGCATACGTCTACAACTGGACCACTGTCATTTATGAGGGATGGTAACACGCAGACATCGCTTTGTAGCTGTCATTTACAAAGTCATGGACTTTATGATTGTAGTAGGTATGTGAACAAAATTGCAGTGTGGTCAAATGCTAAAACAAATTGTACAGCTGGAAAGGGCTTGAAATATACTTGAAAATGATAACAAGACCAGGTTTATTGCTTCAATAATTGCACAACACTGGTCATTTAAAAGCCAAAAGTAGTCCCTTACACTTGTCTTGTTTTCCCCTGAAGTTAAAGCAAAAGGTGTGACCCTACGGCATGGCTATAGCACACTCTGCTGGCTGCTTCTTATGTTAGTCAATTGAAGCAGATTTTGCGGGCAATAAAACTCCCAAGGTTGTTGTTCAAATTCATTGAAATTTTGTTCACTTGTAGTTTAGCAATTAAACTAAATATCTATTACAGTTGTTTACAAATGTTTATACTTCAGCAAAAAATGAGATTATTTTGTGACTTTGGCGCACTCACAATGCCAGTATTTCAATGGGAAACGAGGAGGTATCTATTATTCTGGCGGTGTAATGAATCAGAACCTGGAAGTTCTGCAAAAAGAGTAACTTTCTCAACACCGCAAGACGCCTGAGGGAAAAACCAGAGTTAACGTCTATCGGAACAAAGATGGCAGCCGCGATAGTGGAGATTGTCGTGTACCTAGTTTTAGCCTATGTATTTCCATCATATCAAGCATGGATGACCTGAGATGTCTGTGTTTCAGTCCACTCTAGCAACTGCTTAGTCATAAAGACTGGAAGAAACCATTTGGCTGGGCTGTCTACATCGATTTGACAGGAAATGGCTGAATTCTCTTTGACTGCAATCTGTGACATTGGTAACAATTGCCCCTCTCCACTCCAGATGACCGCAGGGAGGACGACAGCGGTGAAGATGCAGTTCTTGAGGATTCATTGCTTCAAGTTGAAGGTGCCACCGCCAGTGGAAACTTCTACAATTTTGCTAACCATGGAGACCAGATTGACACAGTAGATTCTAGTCCAAGAACATGGCGCAGAGGTACTGATAGTAGTTTCCAGATGGAATTTGACAATACCCCTTCAAGGAGCCAGACCAGCGGTACCAGTCGGCGTCGGACTGGGCTAGATGTGGTTTGCAGTGACGTTGGCTTTCAAATTACTGTGCTGAAAGGTTCATTAAGTGAAGTTAAAGTTGTGGGTATGTACTTGACTTTGCTGCCTATTTAAATGTCTTTATTTTGCTGAATGCATGTTGTAAACTGACTAGGCTTTCACTTCGTTCATCAGGCTCAAAGGACCTGCTGTCTGTTATGGATGCTCCAGAGTCTTGTGGTTATGAAGTGAACCCTTTGACTAACACCTTGGCTGTACCCTTTACCGGGTGCCATGTGAAACGGGTAGGCTTTGTTAAATGTACTTTGAAGTAATTGTCTTGGCTCTGTAGTCTATTATATTGGTGTAGTTTTGCATGTCTTGAATTGAGTTCTTACTTCAAAAAGCTCTTTGTATTACAGAGTAACCGCTACAGCCTGCAGTTGTTGTACGTCAATGCGTTTGATCAGACACAAGTTGCTACCGCATCTTGTGAGAGAAGCCTGAAGGTTGACCCAGGCGTATTTCCTGGCTCCAGTGGCCAATCCTATCCCACATTTAAGCGCATTGAGCCAATCCGAGCGCAGCCACAACGGCCTGCATGTCCGCAAAAGCCTGGCTTGCCCCTAGGGCCCGGCTTGCCGCAAGGGCCTTCATTGCCCCAAGGGCCCCAACAACCTGGGTCACCCCAAGGGCCTGGGTCGCCCCAAGAACCTTCATTGCCCCTAGGGCCTGGGTCACCTCAAGGGCCCGGATCGCCGCAAGGGCCTTCATCCCCGCAACAGCCTGGCTCGCCCCTAGGGCCCGGCTTGCCGCAAGGGCCTGGCTCGCCCCAAGAACCTTCATCCCCGCAACAGCCTGGCTCGCCCCTAGGGCCTGGCTCGCCCCAAGGGCCTTCATCCCCGCAACAGCCTGGCTCGCCCCAAGGGCCTGGCTCGCCCCAAGAACCTTCATCCCCGCAACAGCCTGGCTCGCCCCTAGGGCCCGGCTCGCCCCAAGGCCCTTCATCCCCGCAACAGCCTGGCTCGCCCCAAGGGCCTGGCTCGCCCCAAGACCCGGCCCCAAGGGCCTGGCTCGCCCCAAGGGCCTTCATCCCCGCAACAGCCTGGCTCGCCCCTAGGGCCCGGCTCGTCCCAAGGGCCTGGCTCGCCCCAAGGGCCTTCATCCCCGCAACAGCCTGGCTCGCCCCTAGGGCCTGGCTCGCCCCAAGGGCCTTCATCCCCCAAGGGCCTTCATGCCCCTATGGCCCGGCTCGCCCCAAGGGCCTGGCTCGCCCCAAGGGCCTTCATCCCCGCAACAGCCTGGCTCACCCCAAGGGCCTGGCTCGCCCCAAGGGCCTTCATCCCGCAAGAACCTTCTTGCCCCTAGGGCCTGGGTCGCCCCAACAGCCTGGCTCGCCCCTAGGGCCTTCATCCCCACAAGAACCTTCTTTGCCCCTAGGGCCTGGGTCGCCCCAAGGGCCTTCATCCCCACAAGAACCTTCTTTGCCCCTAGGGCCTGGGTCGCCCCAAGGGCCTTCATCCCCACAACAGCCTGGCTCGCCCCTAGGGCCTGGGTCACCCCAAGGGCCTTCATCCCCACAACAGCCTGGCTCGCCCCAAGAACCTTCATTGCCACTAGGGCCTGGGTCACCACAAGGGCCTGGCTCGCCGCAAGAACCTTCTTCCCCGCAACAGCCTGGCTCACCCCTAGGGCCTGGGTCGCCCCAAGGGCCTTCATCCCCGCAACAGCCTGGCTCGCCCCTAGGGCCTGGGTCGCCCCAAGGGCCCCAACAGCCTGGCTCACCCCTAGGGCCTTCATTGCCACTAGGGCCTGGCTCCACCCCTATGGCCTGGGTCGCCCCAAGGGCCTTCATCCCCGCAACAGCCTGGCTCGCCCCTAGGGCCTGGGTCGCCCCAAGGGCCTTCATACCCGCAACAGCCTGGCTCGCCCCTAGGGCCTGGGTCGCCCCAAGGGCCTTCATCCCCACAACAGCCTGGGTCGCCCCAAGGGCCTTCATCCCCACAAGAACCTTCTTTGCCCCTATGGCCTGGGTTGCCCCAAGGGCCTTCATCCCCACAAGAACCTTCTTTGCCCCTATGGCCTGGGTCGCCCCAAGGGCCTTCATCCCCACAAGAACCTTCTTTGCCCCTATGGCCTGGGTCGCCCCAAGGGCCTTCATCCCCACAACTGCCTGGATTGCCCCAAGAACCTTCATCCCCGCAAATTCATCCAACCCGAGCGCGGCCGCAACGGCCTGCATGTCCGCGACGGCCTGGAGCGCTCCTAGGGCCCGGCTCACCCCAAGGGCCCCCATCCCCGCAACAGCCTTCATCCCCGCAAGGGCCGCAACTACAAACATTGCCAATGACACATGGTCAGTACAAAGTATGTTCAGCAAATGTGCTGAATAGAAATGTTGTACAGTAACACTTTACTGGATTTTGGTTTTTTGATGTCAGAATTTGTTTATTTTTTTGGTCTTTGTCCTATTAGGTTGTGGCATCCCCACAGGAGAGCAGGTGACTTGTGGCCAGTCAGGAATATCATCCTCAGACTGTGAGATGATGGGATGCTGTGTGGATTCTTCTACATCTACCTGCTACTACCCAATGGATGGTGAGGCTTCTGATTAGGGAGAAGTGGTTTAAAAAAATGTTCAAATAGGAAATGTCTGTCTTTCAAGTGACTTTTGCCCCCCCTCTCTTTAGAGTGCACTGTTGATCAACACTTTGTGTTCGCCATTCGTGCCAACTCTGCATCAATCCCTGTGGACCCCACCAAGCTTGTTGTTTCTGGGAGTACAAACTGTAAACCAGTCATTGTCAACGACAAAGTTGCCATCTTTAAGTTCAAAAATTCAGAATGTGGAGTTCATGCTTATGTAAGTCATGCCCTTTGTGTTTACATTTTTCCCAGTGCACTTTCCACTTTGTTACTTTTTTAGCAAGTTGGAAGATGCTTCACAACTTGACCTCCGTAAAACTTAATTTAAAAGCTTAGTCCTAGTTAAGCTATATTCACACTGCAGGCCTTCATGCTCAATTGAGATTGACTGAACAATTAGCAAGATCCTTGAAGGGGAGATGATTTTATTTTCTGCAATGGGGTTACTACCTATACTGTGAACAGAAGGGATTACATTTAACTTTCAGTTAAGTTGCTAGAGACTTCATGTTCTCTGACAGGCAGAAAAAGGCCTGTCCCTGAGACTCTTGTCCCAAATACAGGCAGCACGTTTAATGCTGCAGCCCTCCGTTTGCCTCGACTTCCTCGCCCTGACCTGCCATTGTAGCGCACGGTTATGTCACAGGTTGATAGTGTTGCATCTAGATTTCAGATTTTTAACTGTGCTGTAAGGTGCACAGAATATTATGTGTTTCTCAATGTGGTGGTCATTAAAAGAGCAGATTGCTAAATCACAAGTAAAGGGATTTTATAAATGCACTCACTCTAAACATACTGGGAGTCTTGGAGGGTGTGCTTCAGGCCTTACATTATGCATGCTGTGTAATCTGCTGGGAAACCTGAAGCAAACAGCTGACAAGTTGACTTTTCTTGACAGGAAGTTGGTGAGACGATGATCTACCTGGCTGAAGTGCAGACTGTCATCCAATCTCTGACCCTCCAGTATGGCGTAATTGCAACACGTGATCCACTCAGGTTAGTGTTACACAATACACTTTGACTCTGTGGGCACAATTCTACCACTCTGTTGTGTTTTTGTGTAGTGCTAAGCTTAAATGTTAACCCACGTATCTGCATAGGTTCATGGTTGAGTGTCGCTATAGCAAAGCAGGCGTTGCTCCGCAGTCACTAACCAGCGTTGGCTACATGGTGAAGACCCCGAGTTCCACCTTGCCGTCAGCGGTCCTCTCTAATGGCTTATATGCTGTTGACTTGAGAATTGCTAAAGGTTGGGTATTTATGCCTTATTTTCTATACCAATTGCAACAAGTACAATCTTGATTCTGCTGGAGTAGGATTGCATACGAGTAGCTCTGAAATATGGACTTGTCAAATTCATTGACTGTTTGCTCTTTGTCTGTCTAACCCCAACAGATCAGACGTATTCAAGCTACTTGCCCACAAATAATCAGCCCTTGCGACTGCTCCTTGGCAGTCCAGTCTATCTTGAACTGCGCCTGATATCACCAAAACCAGATGCGGTAATCCTTGTCAACTACTGTGTAGCTTACCCTCGCTCTGCAAGGAATGCACTGGTGCTTATTTATGAAGGGTAAGCATGACCGAACTCCATGTGTACTAAAACACACCCTCCTCGCCCTCTTTCTGCCTAACCATGAGTCATATTTGTCTCCAGGTGTCCCAACCTTTATGCTCCAAATGTGTCCCTCCTTAAAATCATTGACTGCAAAAATCGTCATCAGAGGCGGTTTGTGGTTGAAGCCTTCCAGTTTATGGTTCAAAAGACAAACAAATACCTTGATGAAGAAGTGAGTAATCAGGAAGCCGTTATGGGTCTAAATGGTCAAAGCTATGCTGTGTACAACTGCCCTGACACAGTAATGTGGTGACTTGTTCATTAAGTTGTCGTTTTTTACAAATAGAACCGTAACCTGTTGACTAAATGTATTCTATCCCGCTATTATGATTGCAAAGTGGAAATGAAATTTACCAAATATGTCAATGTAATATTTGTCTAGCTTTCAAGTGTTAAGTGTCTGCTCCAAACTGAATTGCCTCCACTTGAGATTTTGTACTTTAGAGGCAACAGTGCTGTCATTCTGTGGAAAATGCATATGGGATGTATAAACTGTTTCTGCCATGGTGAATGGTGTTTTGTTTTTCCCCCTGTAGATCTATTTCATGTGCTCTACAGAAGTGTGTTTACCAGCAGATAGGCCATGTGAACAACGGTGCTTTGATGGAAAGGTGAGTCTGTAAACTATGCCAATGTGCTATCAGCTCAGTGTATTTAAAAGTCTAATCAATTTCTTTTCTTCCAGGCACCATAAGGATGCTGCAGAAGACTTGGGGGGGAATAAATCGCATTTTATAACACAGTATACCAGGTCTTGTGGTTTTTGTTGATGTAGACTTGTAAGTCTGTAAATGACTTGTGTGGGGTGAAACGGTGACACTGTTCTTACAAGGATACTGTTGGTAGTGATCTTCAGCCTTTTGAGCAGAGGAATCTATCCACTGTATATTGTAGATAAAGAGGGAAAATGAGAATGCAAATATCCCTAGAGGATCAACGGAAACACCTCAGAATAATGCAGTACTTCAACACCAAAACTACATCCTCCCCAGTTGAAAAGTACTTGGATGATATATTGGGTTGTGAATGGTGTGCTATATAAAGGTAACATGACAAGGGAAAATACGAGTACTGATCAAGTTTTATTAGTGGTTGGACTTTGTTGAAGAGACTGCACAAAATGACATTCTGAGAATTATGAAGAAACAGAGATGCAGCTTAAAAATGAGGGCAGAAAGCTGGACAAAAAACCCATTACTATGTTCATATCTAAATGTGTCTGTATTAAAACAACAAAGATGATGACATTTGTAAACCGTAAGACGGCGTCTTCAGTTCTGGCATGCATTTATGACCCCTTAGTAGCTAATGGTCATAATTTTTTACATAGAGCAGAAATTTACTTTTCAGCTGTATCGCTGCCTCTTGAGCTTGCAGTGTAAATGTGATTTTTAGTTTTTATGTAGATTGTCTGTGGTGCACAACCATCTGGTCCATCAATGACAAAAAATACCACTGCTTACTTCATAAAAGCACAACTTTATTCACTGATTTTGCTGAAACTGGATCATATTTGATGGAAAATATTTCCTGGTTTCAGGCCTGGCGCCAGGATGAAGTGACTGAGGGGGCAGTTAAAAATGATGAGGGGGAAAATCTTTGTGTCAGACATGCTCACAAGTCTTTGAGCTAGAGTCCAAGGCCCAAGCCCTGAACCCTCAGACTTTACTGACGTCACTGGCTCAAAATGCTGTGAACGGGACAGCACTTTATCACGTTACCTTGACGACGCTGAAACACATTGCGCACCTTTTATGTTTTTGCCTTGTTTTTAAGTCCTGCAGGCGATTGCCCTACAGAGTGGAGGAGAGGTAGCCTAAATGTCAATATATATTTGTCAATAATCATTAATACACTATAGTTGGTCAAATGGCATCGTTATCATTTCCCATTCCCTTTTAAAGCCAGGTGCGCATGTACTTTGGCGCATTGCTATTATGGTGCTTTCAGACCAAAAGTGAAGCAATCGTTTGGGGCGGTGCGTTTACATACAAAGTCAAATATAAGGCCAACGCCTACAAGGGAATTTCTACTTCACTACTAAAAAAAACACCCAGGTTTTTCTTTTGGCTCTAGAGAATAAGATTACAAGAAAGGACATTAATGTTTTAAATGATAAAGACTTTTGAATAGTCTGCTTATTTGACTTGTGGTGCAGTAGTAGACTATATGGGTGTTTGTGTTCTTGTACTGAAATATTTGCAATAAACTCTTTTGCCACCCCCGAGAAATTTCGGTGTCTTATTTTATATTTTTCTTCTAGTTAAAGACGCTGAAAGGTGTGATTTCTGATCCATCATCATGGAAGAACTTTAAAAGATAAAAGTCCGGCAATGCTCTGTGAAATACATTTGAACATAGCCGTTTACATGAAGCTTTTCTTTTGGAGACTGAAATGAAAGCCAGCTGAGTTTAATTATTTCAGTCAGTGAAATGAAGCATTTAAATGTTAATGACAACCTTTATTAGGTATAACTGTAAAGTGTAATCTATTCAACATCTTTGTGATAGAATGTATTTGTGTGATGCTTGTAAGATGGTTTTAGCTGTTGATTCTACTTTTGAGATGGAGAGTAGATGGTTTCATATAGTATTTAATCTATTTCAATGATTTTTTTAAACAATGACATGTACACACTGTACATGAGGAAGACAATGACAATATTAGAGACACCTCCAAATGTAATGCAGCACCCAAAGGAAAACCCTGTGTTGATTAAATGTGTAACAAGCAATATCCAAGGTGTTATTTAGAAAAATAAAATAACTGAACATGCTTGCAGTATTCAAAATGTTTGTCTGAAAGATAAATTCCAGTTATACTTAAGAAAAGATTTCAAAAAGTATTTGCACAGACTGTGTGCCTGTAACTTGTAACATAATGTCATACATTTACATCATTAAATGTTGGTCAGTTGATTTATTTTAAAAGAACTGTAACATCTTAGAAACATGAAATAGGCATTTCCTTTAGTAAACAGGCAGTTTTCATTCCCAAACCTGTGACTTTAGTTGAGTGCCAATCAGTAGTCACCAGGTGCACTCAATTGACTTCAAACCGCCACCCGCTCCGTTTCAAGAGGCTATATCTTTGTCTGGGTGCTCAGCAACTGCAGGAGGGCCTTCACATTGATTCATGGCTGGCGTCAGGGTAGAGCTGCTGCTGGTCCTGACTGCGACTCTGCTGGTTTCAGTAGAGGGATGGGCGCGGATCAAGAAAATTCAACGTCCCTCGCCAGGTAAACAACCACCAATGACACAGCACCGATAATAAGCGTGTGGTCACTGAAAGCAGGTTCTTGCAAATGTCGTCTTTTGCATACGTCTACAACTGGACCACTGTCATTTATGAGGGATGGTAACACGCAGACATCGCTTTGTAGCTGTCATTTACAAAGTCATGGACTTTATGATTGTAGTAGGTATGTGAACAAAATTTGCAGTGTGGTCAAATGCTAAAACAAATTGTACAGCTGGAAAGGGCTTGAAATATACTTGAAAATGATAACAAGACCAGGTTTATTGCTTCAATAATTGCACAACACTGGTCATTTAAAAGCCAAAAGTAGTCCCTTACACTTGTCTTGTTTTCCCCTGAAGTTAAAGCAAAAGGTGTGACCCTACGGCATGGCTATAGCACACTCTGCTGGCTGCTTCTTATGTTCTTAGTCAATTGAAGCAGATTTTGCGGGCAATAAAACTCCCAAGGTTGTTGTTCAAATTCATTGAAATTTTGTTCACTTGTAGTTTAGCAATTAAACTAAATATCTATTACAGTTGTTTACAAATGTTTATACTTCAGCAAAAAATGAGATTATTTTGTGACTTTGGCGCACTCACAATGCCAGTATTTCAATGGGAAACGAGGAGGTATCTATTATTCTGGCGGTGTAATGAATCAGAACCTGGAAGTTCTGCAAAAAGAGTAACTTTCTCAACACCGCAAGACGCCTGAGGGAAAAACCAGAGTTAACGTCTATCGGAACAAAGATGGCAGCCGCGATAGTGGAGATTGTCGTGTACCTAGTTTTAGCCTATGTATTTCCATCATATCAAGCATGGATGACCTGAGATGTCTGTGTTTCAGTCCACTCTAGCAACTGCTTAGTCATAAAGACTGGAAGAAACCATTTGGCTGGGCTGTCTACATCGATTTGACAGGAAATGGCTGAATTCTCTTTGACTGCAATCTGTGACATTGGTAACAATTGCCCCTCTCCACTCCAGATGACCGCAGGGAGGACGACAGCGGTGAAGATGCAGTTCTTGAGGATTCATTGCTTCAAGTTGAAGGTGCCACCGCCAGTGGAAACTTCTACAATTTTGCTAACCATGGAGACCAGATTGACACAGTAGATTCTAGTCCAAGAACATGGCGCAGAGGTACTGATAGTAGTTTCCAGATGGAATTTGACAATACCCCTTCAAGGAGCCAGACCAGCGGTACCAGTCGGCGTCGGACTGGGCTAGATGTGGTTTGCAGTGACGTTGGCTTTCAAATTACTGTGCTGAAAGGTTCATTAAGTGAAGTTAAAGTTGTGGGTATGTACTTGACTTTGCTGCCTATTTAAATGTCTTTATTTTGCTGAATGCATGTTGTAAACTGACTAGGCTTTCACTTCGTTCATCAGGCTCAAAGGACCTGCTGTCTGTTATGGATGCTCCAGAGTCTTGTGGTTATGAAGTGAACCCTTTGACTAACACCTTGGCTGTACCCTTTACCGGGTGCCATGTGAAACGGGTAGGCTTTGTTAAATGTACTTTGAAGTAATTGTCTTGGCTCTGTAGTCTATTATATTGGTGTAGTTTTGCATGTCTTGAATTGAGTTCTTACTTCAAAAAGCTCTTTGTATTACAGAGTAACCGCTACAGCCTGCAGTTGTTGTACGTCAATGCGTTTGATCAGACACAAGTTGCTACCGCATCTTGTGAGAGAAGCCTGAAGGTTGACCCAGGCGTATTTCCTGGCTCCAGTGGCCAATCCTATCCCACATTTAAGCGCATTGAGCCAATCCGAGCGCAGCCACAACGGCCTGCATGTCCACAAAAGCCTGGCTTGCCCCTAGGGCCCGGCTTGCCGCAAGGGCCTTCATTGCCCCAAGGGCCCCAACAACCTGGGTCACCCCAAGGGCCTGGGTCGCCCCAAGAACCTTCATTGCCCCTAGGGCCTGGGTCACCTCAAGGGCCCGGATCGCCGCAAGGGCCTTCATCCCCGCAACAGCCTGGCTCGCCCCTAGGGCCCGGCTTGCCGCAAGGGCCTGGCTCGCCCCAAGAACCTTCATCCCCGCAACAGCCTGGCTCGCCCCTAGGGCCCGGCTTGCCGCAAGGGCCTTCATCCCCGCAACAGCCTGGCTCGCCCCTAGGGCCCGGCTTGCCGCAAGGGCCTGGCTCGCCCCAAGAACCTTCATCCCCGCAACAGCCTGGCTCGCCCCTAGGGCCTGGCTCGCCGCAAGGGCCTTCATCCCCGCAACAGCCTGGCTCGCCCCTAGGGCCCGGCTCGTCCCAAGGACCTTCATCCCCGCAACAGCCTGGCTCGCCCCTAGGGCCCGGCTCGTCCCAAGGACCTTCATCCCCGCAACAGCCTGGGTCGTCGCAAGGGCCTGGCTCACCGCAAGGACCTTCATCTCCGCAACAGCCTGGGTCGTCGCAAGGGCCTGGCTCACCCCAAGAACCTTCATTGCCACAACAGCCTGGCTCGCCCCTAGGGCCCGGCTCACCACAAGGGCCGTCTTCCCCGCAACAGCC